CCGCCATCACCACCACGACCATCCCCATCATCACCTCCAACAGCATCCCCATCACCACCCCCAACAGCATCCCCATCACCACCCCCATCACAACCTCCATCACCATCCCCATCACCACCACCTTCACCACCCACATTACCCCCGTCAACACCATCAATACTACCATCACCATCTTCTTCACTATCACCATCATCACCATCACCCCCACCACCATCATCACCACCACCCCCATCACCACCACCACCACCACCCCCATCACTACCACCATCCCCATCACCACCACCCCCACCATCCCCATCACCACCAACCCCACCACCATCACCACCACCCCGCCATCACCCCCATCACCACCACCACCCCCATCGCCACCACCACCATCCCCATCACCACCACCCCCACCCCCATCACCACCACCACCATCACCCCCATCACCCCCATCACCACCACCACCACCACCATCCCCATCACCACCCCCACCACCACCACCATCACCCCCCTCATCACACCCACCCCCATCACTACCCCCATCACCACCACCCCCATCACCACCCCAGTCACCATCCTCATCACCACCACCATCACCACCCTCATCACCATCACCACCGCCATTATCACCACCATTACCACCACCATTACCACCCCCATCAGCATCCGCACCACCACCCCCATCACCACCACCATGACCACTCCCATCACCTCTGCTGTCAAACCAGAGCCGGTCATGAGCACACTGCCCAGGTATGGGAAACTCTCCGCTTTCTCCACAACTGCTCCATCACCACCCCCATCATCACCACCACCATCCCCACCCTCCATCACCATCACCACCACCATCATTACCACCATCACCACCACCCCCATCACCCCCCATCATCACCCCCATCCATACCACCACCATCCCTATCATCTCCACCACCCCCATCACTATCACCACCATCATCCTCACTACCACCATCACCCCCACTATAATCACCACCATTACCACCCCCATCACCACCATCCCCATCAACATCCCCATCACTATCACCATCACCATCCCCATCAACACCACCTTCACCCACATTACCCCCTTCAACACCATCACCACTACCACCACCACCATCATCATCACCACCACCCCCTACACATATCACCACCCCCATCACCACCACCCCCATCATCACCCCCCCCCCCATCACCACCCCCATCACCATCCCAGTCACCATCCTCATCACCACCACCATCACCACCCTCATGACCATCACCACCCCCATCACAACCACCCCCATCATCACCACCACCCCCATCACAGTCACCATCCTCATCACCACCACCATCGCCACCCTCATGACCATCACCACCCCCATCACAACCACCCCCATCATCACCACCACCCCCATCACCATCCCAGTCACCATCCTCATCACCACCACCATCACCACCCTCATGACCATCACCACCCCCATCACAACCACCCCCATCATCACCACCACCCCCATCACCACCCCCATCACCATCCCAGTCACCATCCACATCACCACCACCATCACCACCCTCATGACCATCACCACCCCCATCACAACCACCCCCATCATCACCACCACCCCCATCACCACCACCCCCCCATCACCACCGCCATCACCATCCCAGTCACCATCCTCATCACCACCACCATCACCACCCTCATGACCATCACCACCCCCATCATGATCCCCATCACCACCACCATCATCACCACCACCATCACCAACCCCACCACCATCACCAACCCCACCACCATCACCAACCCCACCACCATCACCAACCCCACCACCATCACCACCACCCCCATCACCATCCTCATCACCACCATCACCATCCTCATCACCACCATCCCCATCACCGCCTCTCACCTGAAACTTCAGACTCCGCTCATCTTGGCGATTTTAAAACAGAGGGAGTTAAAAAAAATTTAAACACCGCACGCAACAAAAATTATCTAATTATGAATGACAAATTCCCCTCAAACTAAAGCACTAATTTAAATGCATTATTATTATTATCGCGTTATAGCGACGGATTGGCGCGCGGCCTAGGCCTGAGGCGCTAGGCCTCAGGCTTCTGCTCGCCTAGACGAGGCCTGCGCTAGGCCGCCGCGCCCCACTCCTTCTTGATGATAAAATTTATTTATTTTTTTACAACCTCTTCATTAAAACCATTTCAGGGCAACAACAAATGTTTTAACCTCGAGCTCGATTACAACAAAAATTCTCAAGCTCCCAGCGAGCTTCGCCGCCCGTGGAGTTGGCATCGAAAATAACCTCCACAAGGCGTGCAGCGATGCACCCCTCAGACCCCACGACAGCCACAACCAGCAGCAGCAGCTCACGGGGACTACGGAGGTGGTGATGGGGGGGGGGGGTGATGGGAGGGGGTGAGGTGATGGGGGGGGTGATGGGGGGGTGTGATGGTGGGGGGGGTGATGGTGGGGGGGTGATGGTGGGGGGGGGTGGTGATGGGGGGAGATGATGAGGGTGGTGGTGATGGGGGTGGTGGTGATGATGATGGAGGTGGTGATGATGGAGATTGTGATGATGGAGATTGTGGTGTTGGTGGTGATGATGGAGGTGGTGGTGGTGGTGATGATGATAATAGTGCTGGTGTTGATGATGGTGGTGGTGGTGATGATGATGATGGTGGTGTTGATGATGATGATGGTGGTGGTGTTGATGATGATGATGTTGGTGGTGGTGTTGATGTTGGTGGTGGTGTTGATGATGGTGGTGGTGGTGGTGATGATGATGGTGGTGATGATGATGATGGTGGTGATGATGATGGTGGTGGTGTTGATGATGATGATGATGTTGGTGGTGGTGTTGATGATGTTGGTGGTGGTGGTGTTGATGATGATGTTGGTGTTGATGGTGGTGGTGATTGATGGTGGTGATTGATGGTGGTGGTGGTGATGATGATGATAATAGTGCTGGTGTTGATGATGGTGGTGATGTTGATGATGATGGTGGTGGTGTTGATGATGGTGGTGGTGGTGATGATGATAATGGAGGTGGTGATGATGATGATGGAGGTGGTGATGATGATGATGATGGAGATGGTGGTGATGATGATGGTGGTGATGTTGATGATGGTGGTGGTGTTGATGGTGGTGGTGGTGATGATGATGGAGATGGTGGTGGTGATGATGATGATGGAGATGGTGGTGATGATGATGGTGGTGAAGATGGTGGTTGGTTATGATTATGGAGGTGGTGGTGGTGTTGATGATGATGATGGTGGTGGTGTTGATGATGATGGTGGTGGTGATGATGATGGAGGTGGTGATGATGATGATGATGGAGGTGGTGATGATGATGATGGAGGTGGTGATGATGATGATGATGGAGATGGTGGTGACGATGATGTTGGTGAAGATGGTGGTGATGTTGATGATGGTGGTGGTGTTGATGCTGATGATGATGGTGGTGATGATGGTGGTGAAGATGGTGGTTGGTTATGATGGAGGTGGTGGAGGGTGATGATGATGATGGAGGTGGTGGTGGTGGTGATGATGATGGAGGTGGTGGTGATTGATGGTGGTGGTGATGATGATGGTGGTGATGATGGAGGTGGTGGTGGTGATGATGATGATGGAGGTGGTGGTGATTGATGGTGGTGATGATGATAATGGTGTTGATGATGGTGGTGGTGTTTATGATGATGGTGGTGATGATGTTGGTGGTGGTGTTGATGATGTTGGTGGTGTTGATGATTGGTGGTGGTGATGATGATGTTGGTGGTGGTGTTGATGATTGGTGGTGGTGATGATGATGGTGGTGGTGGTGATGATGATGGCGGTGGTGATGATGATGGAGATGAGATGGTGATGATGATGATGGTGGTGATGGTGATGATGGAAGTGGTGATGATGGAGATGGAGGTAGTGGTAATGATGGTGATGGTGGTAATTATGGTGGTGATGATTATGGTGGTGGTAATAATGGTGGTGATGGAGGTGGTGGTGATAATGGTGGTGATGGTGGCAATGATGGTGATGATGATAGTGGTGGTGGTGACAATGATGATGATGGTGATGATGGTTGGGGTGATGGTGATGGTGAAAAGGATGGTGGTACTGATGGTAGCGATGGTGATGGTGGTGATGATTATGATGGTGGTGATGATGGTGGTTGGGGTGGTGATAGTGGTTGTGATGGTGGAGGCGATAGTCATGATTGTGGAGGTGATAGTGATGATGGTGGTAGTGGTGGTCTTAAAATTTATAGTGTTGCTGATCATGGTGATGCTGATGGTGGTGGTGATATTTGTGGTGGTAGTGATAATAGTGGTGGTGATAATGGTGGTGGTGATGATGGAGGTGGTGATGATGATGATGATGATTTTGATGTTGGTGATGATGGAGGTGGTGATGATGCTGATGATGATGGAGATGGTGGTGATGATGGTGATGGTGCTAATGGAGATGCGGATGGTGGTGATTGTTGTGGTGGTGGTGGTGATGATGATGATGGTGGTGATGGTATTGGTGATCGTGGTGATGCTGGTCGTGGTGGTGACGATGGAAGCGATGCTGGAGATGCTGATGATGAAGTTGGTGGAGGTCATCATGGCGGTGAGCAATCTTCTGGGTGAGGAGCAGCGATAGCCTCACCTTGAGTGAGAATCCTGGCCCAGGCTACCGCTGTTACTGTTGTTGATGACGATGGTGGCGGTGATGATGCAGATGCTGATGATGGACATGCTGGTGGTGGTGGTGGTGATGTTGGTGGTGGTGATGTTGGTGGTGATGTTGGTGGTGGTGATGGTGGTGAGCACTCTTCTGGCAGATCAGCAGCGAGAGCCTCACCTTGAGTGAGAATCTAGGCCAAGCTACCGCTGTTACTGTGGTTGATGATGATGGCTGCTGCTGGTGGTGGTGATGATGATGATAGAGGTGGTAATGGAGTTCCCGGTGATGGCGGTGATGTTCGTGGTGATGTTGGTGGTGATGAGCAGTCTTCTGGGTGAGGATGCAGAGATAGCCTCACCTTGAGTGAGAATCCAAGGCCAGGCTGCTGCCGCCGCCGCCACTGTTGTTGCTGAGGCCAAGAGTCGAGGCGAGCAGAGAGAGAGCAGCAGCAGCAGGAGGAGCAGCAGAGAGGGCGAGGGGGAGAGGGGGAGCAGCAGCCGCGACAGAAGCAGCGGGGAGATGGAGGAGGAGATGGAGGAGGAGCTGAGTTGTCAGCGTCACGGTGGAACCTCCTCCGCGTGTTCCGTCTCCTGGCTCTCTGAGTCTCTGTCTGTCTCCTGGCTCTCTGAGTCTCTGTCTGTCTCCTAGCTCTCTGAGTCTCTGTCTGTCTCTGGCTCTCTGAGTCTCTGTCTGTCTCTGTCTCTCTGAGTCTCTGTCTGTCTCCTGGCTCTCTGAGTCTCTGTCTCCTGGCTCTCTGAGTCTCTGTCTGTCTCCTGACTCTCTGAGTCTCTGTCTGTCTCCTGGCTCTCTGAGTCTCTGTCTGTCTCTGTCTCTCTGAGTCTCTGTCTGTCTCCTGACTCTCTGAGTCTCTGTCTGTCTCCTGGCTCTCTGAGTCTCTGTCTGTCTCCTGACTCTCTGAGTCTCTGTCTGTCTCCTGGCTCTCTGAGTCTCTGTCTGTCTCCTAGCTCTCTGAGTCTCTGTCTGTCTCTGGCTCTCTGAGTCTCTGTCTGTCTCCTGGCTTTCTGAGTCTCTATCTGTCTCCTGGCTCTCTGAGTCTCTGTCTGTCTCTGGCTCTCTGAGTCTCTGTTTGTCTCCTGGCTCTCTGAGTCTCCGTCTCCTGGCTATCTGAGTCTCCGTCTCCTGGCTATCTGAGTCTCTGTCTGTCTCTGGCTCTCTGAGTCTCTGTCTGTCTCCTGGCTCTCTGAGTCTCTGTCTGTCTCCTGGCTCTCTGAGTCTCTGTCTGTCTCTGGCTCTCTGAGTCTCTGTCTGTCTCCTGGCTCTCTGAGTCTCTGTCTGTCTCTGGCTCTCTGAGTCTCTGTCTGTCTCCTGGCTCTCTGAGTCTCTGTCTGTCTCTGGCTCTCTGAGTCTCTGTCCGTCTCCTGGCTCTCTGAGTCTCTGTCTGTCTCTGGCTCTCTGAGTCTCTGTCTGTCTCTGGCTCTCTGAGTCTCTGTCCGTCTCCTGGCTCTCTGAGTCTCTGTCTGTCTCTGGCTCTCTGAGTCTCTGTCTGTCTCTGGCTCTCTGAGTCTCTGTCTGTCTCTGTCTCTCTGAGTCTCTGTCTCTGTCTCTGGCTCCCTGAGTCTCTGTCTGTCTCCTGGCTCTCTGAGTCTCTGTCTGTCTCTGGCTCTCTGAGTCTCTATCTGTCTCCTGGCTCTCTGAGTCTCTGTCGTCTGTCTCCTGGCTCTGTGAGTCTTTGTCTGTCTCCTGGCTCTCTGAGTCTCTCTCTGTCTCCTGGTTCTCTGAGTCTCTGTCTGTCTCCTGGCTCTCTGAGTCTTTGTCTCCTGGCTCTCTGAGTCTCTGTATCCTGGCTCTCTGAGTCTCTGTCTCCTGGCTCTCTGATTCTGTCTGTCTCCTGGCTCTCTGAGTCTCTCTCTGTCTCTGGCTCTCTGAGTCTCTGTCTGTCTCTGGCTCTCTGAGTCTCTGTTTGTCTCTGGCTCTCTGAGTCTCTGTCTCTGGCTCTCTGAGTCTCTGTCTGGCTCCTGGCTCTCTGAGTCTCTGTCTCCTGGTTCACCGAGTCTCACTCTGAGGCTCTTTCTGTCTCTCACTGTCTCCTAGTTCTCTAAGTCTCTGTCTCTGAGTCTCTCACTGTCTCTCAATGTCTCTGTCTCCTGGCTCTCTGAGTCTCTTCCTGGGGTTCTCTCTGTTTCTCTCTGTCTCCCCACTGAGTATCTCTCTCATTGTCTCCGTGTCTCCTCCATCTCTCTCTCTCGCTGTCTCTCTTCTCTCTCTCAATGTCTCCTCCTCCTCCTGCCCGAGTCTCTCTCTCTCACTGTCTCCGTGTCTCCTCCTCTCTCTCTCGCCCGTCTCCTTCTCCTCCCTGAGTCTCCCTCCTCCCTCCCTCTCTCCGGGTCTCCTCTCTCTCTCTCCCTCTCGCTCACTCAGTCTCCTCCATTCCTCTCTCTCTCTCTCACTGTCTCCTCTCTCTTTATCTCTCTCTGTGTGACTCCCTCCCTCTCGCCCACCCGGTCTCCTCCATTTCTCTGTTGCGCTCTGTCTTCTGTCTGTCACTGTCTCCTCTCTGAATCTCCCTGACTATCCCTGTCTCCTCTCTGTCTTCCTCTCTATCTCATCTCTCTGTTGCTAGCTCCTCTCTCTCTCTCTCACTGTCTCCTCCATCTCTCTGCCTGTCTCTCTCTCTGCCTCTCTCCACTACGCTCTGTGTGTCTCTCGCTCAGGGAAGCCAACAAGCCAGGACACATGGGGTTATTGTTATTATACGGGGTGGCCAAAACGTGAGGACACATGGGGTATTGTTATACAGGGTGGCTCAAAAGTCAGGACAGATAGGAGTATTGAACTGGGTGGCCCAAAAGTGAGGACACACAGGGATATCTAACAGGGTGGCCCAAAAGTCAGGACACATAGGGGATTGCACTGGGTGGCCCAGAAATCAAAACTTATTGGGGAATTGCTATACAGGATGGCTGAAAAGTCAGGACACAACGCGATAGTGTACGGGATGGCCAACAATTCAGGACAAATAGGGATATTATACAGGGTTGCCCAAAACTCAGGATACATACGAGTATTGTGTAGTGACATCGCAGGATGTCAACATGCAGTGCGGGACCTAGAGAGGCACGGCGTGCGATGCAACAACATCGCGGATACCACAATGGTTTGAGTGTAGTACCGGCCCTAGAGGGGCCCAGTGAGCACTGATTGATAGCGCTGGATGGCACCACGCTTGGCGTGCAGTGCCAACCCTACAGGGCAGGGTGTGGGAGTGCCGGCCAAAGGATGAGGTTACTAAAGGCCATGGCACTCTGGTTGACCCAGGAGGACACGTGACCAGTTAAGTCTACAAAGGGGCTCCAAGTGGGGGCTAGGGGTGGTCACGTGGTTGGGACCCAGATCCTTCCCGAGGATTCTGGAAGGTGGGCGTGGAAAGGGCGGAGCCGGCAACGCCGCAGAGAATATCAGCCAGGTCCCGAGAAGGACCAGGGTTGTTGTTCATCCTGGAAGAAACATTCGTCTACGTTCTCTGTTCAACGAGTCTCCAACACGTGGACCCGGACCCGAGCTGTTGATCCCAGTTGGTAGTAGCAGTTACATTGTAACTATTGTAGTTAGCCTGGTGGTCACCACCATAGGTTGTTATTCTGTTAAGGGGAAGTTACCCCGTGTGTTGGAGTTAAATAAATGTGTTGCCTCCAAGTCTACGTCTGCGACTCAGTTGAACTCACTACAATTGCACTGGGTTGCCCAAAAGTCAGGACACATACAAATTTTGAACTGGGTGGCCCATTAGTCAAGATGCATAGGGGTATTGTTATATTGAGTGGCCTAAAGGTCAGGACACATAGGGGTTTAAATTGAGTGGCCGACAATTCAGGACGCATACGGATTTTGTTATACTGGGTTGGGACACATAGAGGTAATGTTATATTGGGTGGCCCAAAATTAATAACACGTAGGGGCATTGCTAGGGTGGCATAAAAGTCCGAACACATTGGGGATGGTACTGGGTGGCCAAAAATTCAGGACACTCATCGATATTGTACTGGGTGGCTCAAAGGTCAGGACACATAGGGGTATTGAACTGGGTGGAATTAAAGTCAGGACACATAGGGAATTGTACTGGGTGGCTGAAAATTCAGGACAAAATTCAATATTGTAATGAGTGGCTCAAAAGTAAGGACACATCGAGGTCATAATAAAGGTTTTTGGGTTAGATCACCTAAGTATAAATGTGTCGAAACCCTCCACCACCCAACACGGCCAATCAGTCAGGGATTTGTCACGTAAACAAAACGACAAATAGTTATTACTTAAGCCCACCGGCGTGTTGAAGAGTGAATCCACAACATTTACAATTTCAGTACAACATTTTGCTAGTAATTACATCCAGCATCATCGGTCGATTTTCCAGAATAGTGAAGCCATCCACCTGCTTCCGGTCTTAAATAGAGCAGGACGATGTCATCATTGAACCCAATCAGGTGCAGAGATCAGAGGCGGAGGAGGGGGGGGGGTATTGTTATTACATAATAGATTAGTTATCAGTTACATCATGGGACCTCCTTTACCAGTACCAGAATATGAGAATAGGTTTTCCCCTTTTTTCTGGCAACAAAACAGGTCGTAAGATGTTAAAAGCACCAAACTGAAACCTTTTACAAGGAATCATGTCTGCATTAACCACAATACTTGTGGTCAGAATGCAAACAAAAAACATACTCTGATAATATATGCATTTTCTTTGAAACTGATTGGTCCACACCAGAGACAGCTTTCTTTGGAGCCTAGTCTCAAAAGGTGTTAGACCAGAGGACGCCAAAAGCCGTACAGCACAAAGACAAGCAATATCAGAGTAATGAGAGCTCGGGGTGAGCAGCTACATCATGGGGAAAACCTATTGTCATATTTTGGTACTGGCAAAGGACTTACAAGGGAATTGCAAAACAGGGTGGCCCAAAAGTGGGGACAAATAGGGGTATTGTTATGCTTGATGGCCCATTAGTCAGGAAACATTGGCGTATTGTTATATTTGTAGTGACATCGCGGGATGTCACTGTGCTGTGCCGGCCCTAGAGAGGCACGGCGTGCGATGTAACGACATCGCGGACACCACTATGATGTGGGTGTAGTCCCAGTACTATAGGGGCTCGGTCAGCGCTGGTTGATAGCGCTAGGTGACACCACGCTTGGCGTGCAGTGCCAGCCCTACAGGATAGAGTGTGGGTGTGCCGGGGTTATTAAAGGCCATGGCACTCTGGTTGACCCGAGAGAACACGTGACCAGTTAAGTCTACAAAGGGGCCCCAAGTGGGGGCTAGGGGTGGTCACGTGGTCCGGGTCCAGATTCTGCTCGAGGATTCTGGAAGGTGGTCGTGGCCATGGGCGGGGCCAGCCACGCCGCAGAGAATATAAGCCAGGTCCCCCAAAGGGACCGGCATTGTTTTTAATCTTGAAGAAACCTTCGTCTACGTCCTACGTTCTACCGAGTCTCCAGCACCTGGACCTAGACCCGAGTTGTGGTCCAGTCCGTTGTAGGTAGTTACGTTGTAATTAGTGTAGTTAGCCTGGTGGTCGCCACCATAGGTTGTTATTCTGTTAAGGGGCAGTTACCCCGTGTGTTGGTGTTAAATAAATGTGTTGCCTCCAAGAGTACGTCTGCGACTGAGTTGAACTCACTACACATTGGTTAGCAGTAAGTACCCGGCGTTGCCCGGGCGAAAAAAGGCAGGCACACACATGGACTTACACACAGACATCGACCCACACACATAAAAACCCATCGGCTTACATGTGTAGAGGTGTAATTGCGCATGGCTACGAATGTTGAGGTGTGATTATGCATGGCCACGGATGGCCAACAAACACAAGGGGCGGGGTTACGGCCGTACACAAGGGTGGCGCTAGCACCGACGTCCGCATGTGTATCCCCCACGGGCCCCCCCTCGGGGGCGAGTCCTATAAAAGGTGATGAGCTCGAGGGCTCGAGGTCGGGACTCAGCTTTAACCAGAGAAGACGGAAGACCAGCTAGTGTAGGCCCCAGAGCTCCCCTGGCTCGCTGTCCTTATAAGGGCCGACCAGGGCAAGCCGGTGGCGTGGCCCCGAGAGCCCAGACGAAGCTGGTCTGGTGACTCAGGGAGCCGGGATCCCAGTTTAACCAAGCTGGGACAGATAGCCTCCCCTAGTCCCGTAGTGGAGGAATTGGTATAGGTTAGAGGGGTTAGCTGTCGAGAATCCCTGTAGCCAAGTGACCTGTACAACTGTGTTGGTGTAATAAATAAGTGTGCCTCCGATCCTGTCGTCAAGCCTCCATATATACTTACTACATCTGGGGTCAGAAGTAAACGTCCAACGATGGACACACGAGGGACGACACGTACCAGGGAGTCGGAGATGGAAGACGCCGCGGCCGATTCTCCACCAGTGATGGCCGGGGTCGAATCGGAGCAGCCGGGGCCGAGTACGCCCGCGCCGCTACGACAGGAGGAGGGGGATGCGTCGGCCGAGGGACTCCGGCTGGCCCACTCCCGCCTGGCGGACCTGCTCTACGCCGCGGCCGCCGCGTTGGAGGAGATCACGCGGCTGGGGGCTGGAGGAGCAGCGCGGGTCGACGACGGCAGCCGGCGCGGGGCGACGTTTCCCGCCACCCCGACGCGGCTCGCGGTCAAATTTCCCGCCATCTCTACAGTACGAGCGGAGGGCGGGGCCGGCCCGCGTCACGTGTCTGCTGAGCGCCAAGCACAAGCCGTGACATCATCAACGCCGGCCGGCGCGTCAACATCAGAGCGACCGGCGATGCCATGTGCACGGCCCGCCCACACTGTATCATCGGCGGGGAGCGACGGAGAGCGTTCTGCGGCCACGGACGCCGCCTTACAACAGCGTCTGCCGCCTCTTAAAGAATTTGTCGGCGCTGACGGAGACTGGGGCGGCTTCAAGAGGCGGTTCATCGCTCATCAAGAGATGGCGAACTGGTCGGACGCCGAGGCTCTACGCGCGCTGCCAGCGATGCTGGACAACGACGCCCTGGCTACCCTCACCTCGGCGCCGAGGGAAAAGCGCGCCACTCTACACCTGGCGTTGCAGCTGCTGTCAGCCGTCTATGGGCCGCCTTCGGACTGCAGGCAGCTGTTCCACGATCGGAGTCGGGGCGCCAACGAGTCACCCCTGGCCTTCCGGACGGCTCTCCTGGCTCTGGCAAAGGCTGCTTTCCCAAGGATGGACGAGGAAGGAGTGGATGCCATGGTGGCTGAGAAGCTGCTGCTACTCGCTGACGAGCTGGACGTCAACGTCCTGGCTCAGGACGACGCGGAGATGTCGTCCCTGCTGGTCGCGCGCCACATCCACGGGGGCTTGCGGTCCCTGCGTCGGAAGGCGGCAAAGGGGGCGGCCGGCCATGCCATGGCGACCACCGCCCTCCCATCGGAGGAGGTCTGCGGGGTGGAGCGGCGAGGGGAATGGAGATCGGCGGCACCGCAGGCTCGGAATGGACCGAGCCGCCAGGAGCAGCCCAGGTCATCTGGGGCGCTCACACGCTGCTACAACTGTGGCCTGCAAGGCCACGTTGCGTCTGGATGCCGGGCTCCCCGTCAGCGCGGGGCGACACCTCGTCAGGACGCCACGCCGTCTCCTCCCAAGCTCCAGCAGAGAAATACGGCGAGTCGCGGCACCTCACACGTTTGGCCCACGCACACATCCGACACACACTCACGCGCTCAACTAAACAGGGCTCCAAACTCCCCGTCCGTCGCGCGCGATTGTTCGGTAATGCGGCGAGCGCTCCAACCGGGTCAGTGGTCGGAGCTCGCCCATCGTGTCGTTGCTGCGTCGGCGGGATCATCGGTCGTGGTCGGTCACATTGATGGGGTAGAGGTGCGGATTTTAATTGACACAGGGGCATCGGCGACCATTATATCTGATTTAATTTATAACATCCTTCCCGTTCAAAGTCGTCCCTTGCTCCCTGTTGACGTGCCGTGCTATGCCGCTAACGGAGGCTCTCTGGGCATTATTGGCCAAATCCGCGCCACTATCTGCATTGGAGACATTAAATTATCCGGCCCTGTTTTGGTTTCCTCCTCACTCGCGGTTCCGTGCCTGTTGGGGACGGATTTTCTGGCCAAAATGCCCATCCGTATCCTTATTGACCAAGGGTGCATTGAGCTCCCATCGGGCCGACGCGTTACATTTCTGTCTTCCCCCACCACGGAGCGTCGGGCGTTTGCCACCGTGCAGGCGCTCGTCACAAAAACTGTGCGCGTGCCTCCGGGGGCTCAGATGCTCGTCCCTCTTAGGTTGCGTCGGTCGTTTGATGCAGGGGTTGCGGATCGGGGGGTCTTGTTGGGTCTATCTCGGGCCGGGGTCAATGGACCCGATTTGCTCGCGGCTCAGACTATGGTGAGAGGGGATGGGGACCCCTTCATTGCAGTCCTTAATGTGGGATCGCGAACGGCCGTGGTTCCTCAAGGGACCGTGCTTGCACACGCAACGCCGGTGCCCTATGAGGAACCACTCGTGGGTCAGGTATCCACCGATCCTCCGTCGCGACCGCATTCGGACTCTGATGACGGATGGCTGGATGCGCTTTGCGCGGGTTCAGTGGACCTGTCTGACTCGCAGCGCGCGCAGCTGCGAGTTCTCCTGAGCGAATTTGCTGACGTTTTTAGTCAACACAAATTTGATATTGGTTGTACAAAATTGCTGCGACACCATATTGACACGGGTGACAGCGCGCCGATCCGCCAAAATCCCTTTCGGTTGAGTCCCGCCGAAAAGGATCATGTCAAATCGGCTGTTGATGACATGCTAGCCGCCGATATCATTTCCCCTTCCACCAGCCCGTGGGGCGCGCCGATCGTTTTGGTGAAAAAACACGACGGCTCACTGAGATTTTGTGTTGACTTTCGGCGTCTCAACAAAATCTCTGTGGCAGATGCGTACCCGCTTCCTCGGATGGATGAGTCGCTCGACGCCTTGGCCGGTGCGCGATTCTTTTCCACCCTTGATTTGCTATCTGGATTCTGGCAGCTTCCTCTGGATGACGAATCAAAACCTAAGACTGCTTTTCGTACACCGCAGGGCCTCTTCCAATTTAACCGTTTGCCGATGGGTTTACATTCTGCGCCGGCAACTTTTCAGCGGTTAATGGAATTGGTCTTGGCAGGTTTGCAATGGGATTCGTGTTTGATTTACTTAGACGATGTCATCGTCTTTAGCAAATCCTTCGAGGAACACCTCCAGAGGTTGCGTGCTGTTTTTCTCAAAATGCGGGCTGCCAATTTGAAATTTAAACCACAGAAGTGCCATTTACTCCGCGAATCGGTGCGATATTTGGGTCACATTGTTGGGCGCTCGGGGATATCCACTAATCCCGCCAAAACGGAATGCGTCAGCTCCTGGCCGACTCCCACCTCTGTGGGAGAGGTCAGGAGTTTCATTGGGTTCGCGTCGTATTATCGGCGATTTGTGGCTGACTTCGCTACGATTGCGAAACCATTGCATGCCTTGACGTCCAAGGGAGTCAGGTTTCATTGGGGGCCGGAGGAGGAGGCTGCTTTTCGCGCCCTCAGAAATGCTTTGGTGGGAGCTCCGCCGTTGAATTACCCGGATTTTTCACAACCCTTCTTGCTCGATACTGACGCAAGTAACACGGGCATCGGGGGTGTGCTGTCCCAGCTCATCGGGGGCGTAGAGCATGTGGTGGCTTACGGTAGTCGGGTACTGTCTCCAGCCGAACAGCGGTACTGCGTTACCCGTCGGGAATTATTGGCCATTGTTTATTTCATTCAGCAGTACCGCCCGTATCTGTACGGTCGGCGGTTCACCGTCCGTACAGATCATGCGGCCCTACAGTACGCCCTGCGGGTTCAACAACCATCGGGCCAGTTGTCTCGATGGTTGGAGATCCTCCAAGACTATGACTTTGTCACCACATATCGTAAGGGTGTCCGCCACACGAACGCTGACGCCCTGTCACGATTGCCACCCACTTCGGAGTGCGCGTGCCTGTTGGGTTCGGGGCGTTGTAGGCCCCCGAACGTCACCACCGATTCGGTCCTCGTGGCCGCTACCGATGCACCTTCGGCTTCGGGTCCTATCGAGCAAGAAGGGAGGGATTCGTTGCTGGGGTTGCCGGTCGCGGAATGGGGACGCCTCCAAATGGAGGACACCTCCCTCCTCGCTTTGCGCCGTCGCGTCGGGGGGGCTGGTCAGGGGGTGGAAAACGTTGACTCGTGGGGGTTGTTCCAGGGTCTTTTGATGCACTGGGATGGAAAAACCCGGCGCCAGCGGCTTGTGGTGCCTGCTGCTTTAAGGGGTAAGGTGGTATGGGCTGTTCATGAGCGGCTTCTGCACTTGGGGGTTCACAAGACCTTTGCCACGCTCCAGCTGGATTTCTTCTGGCCGGGCATGGAAAAGGACGTGGGGGATCTCTTGGGGTCATGCACGCAATGCGCGCAGAGGAAGCCGCCTGCGAGGGGGTCCAACCCTCCGCTGCAGTCCATAAAAGTTTCCCGGGTTAACGAGCTCGTCGCTCTGGACATACTTGGGCCATTTCCCGCTACGCCCAGGGGCAATAGGTATTTACTAACGGGGGTTGAATACTTCACGAGATGGCCTATGGCCTGGCCCCTGGCGAACCAGTCGGCAGCAGCCATCGCGGAGGCCTTTGTCCAGGGCTATGTCCTCGACAAAGGTGCTCCGGAACGGCTGCTTACTGACCAGGGTAGGAATTTTTCTGGTAAACTCCTACGTGAGGTGTGCGACCTCTTGGGTACGGAGAAGGTTCGGACCTCTCCGTATCACCCACAAACTGACGGGATGGTGGAACGGCTGCATCGGACCATCACGTCCATGCTGTCCCAGCAGGTGTCGGTATCCCAGACGGATTGGGACCTCCGCATAGCCGGTGTGTTGCAGGCCTACAGGATGGCTCCTCATGCGGCCACCGGATTTTCCCCTTTCTTTTTAATGTATGGGCGCGAAGTTAACCCCCCTGTGGCGACCCAGCTGAAGCTCTCGGCGCTCCCGGCGAAGTCTAATTTGTCCGAACACATTAAATTTAACATCGCTAAATTGTCTGAGGCGCGGGAAGCGGCCGTGCAAAATTCTGAACTCCGCCAGAAGGCGAACGAGAGGCTTCGGTTGGGGCGGGTGCAGGTGGTCAAATGGGAACCAGGGGACAGGGCGTGGTTGCACTGTCCTCAGGTGCCGCTGGCAACCTCGTCGAAATTGGTACGGCCGTGGCGGGGGCCAGTGGAGGTCGTGCAGGTTTTGCGGCCGCAATGTGTTCGCGTCAAATGGGGGAGGCGCCGGTGGTATGTGCACCCCTCAAGGTTAAAACCATTTGTCGCGCCGCCCCGTGGTTCACACACACACACGCATGGCCAAACGTGTGAGGGTGTCGCCGACTCCCCGTCGTCGCTGCACTCGCCTAACCTGACGCCAACTGTTCCGTCCCCAGGTGAAACAGGAGTGACGGGTCCACACCCACCAACCCCTCCCGGAGGGGTCGGGGGTCACTCGGCAGCGACGCCTGACTCTCTTGCACCCGGACCGTCAACAACCGTCACTGAGCGTGCCAGGACGGGCCCTTGTGACGGGCCCGCCGCGCGGACGCGCGCCAAAACGCGCAGACTATTGTGAGGTCGGCCGTTGGGGGGCCTTGCGGACAATGGGAGGGGTGGCGTCCGGAGTGTGTGTATATATGTTGGTTTTGGGGTATTTATTCGGGGGGGGTGCGTCGGGTTATTTTTTTTCCTCTCTCTCTCTCTCTCTTCCTGTTGTTGTTCTTGTTAAGGTTCTCTTGTTCTTGTTAAAAATTACGCGAGGCACACACACGGGGTTTTTGTGAGGGATGCACCTTTATTCTGATTTTTTTTTTTTGCAGCCAGGGACGGCTGCGAGCTGTACAGGGGGGGGGTGATGTAGAGGTGTAATTGCGCATGGCTACGAATGTTGAGGTGTGATTATGCATGGCCACGGATGGCCAACAAACACAAGGGGCGGGGTTACGGCCGTACACAAGGGTGGCGCTAGCACCGACGTCCGCATGTGTATCCCCCACGGGCCCCCCCTCGGGGGCGAGTCCTATAAAAGGTGATGAGCTCGAGGGCTCGAGGTCGGGACTCAGCTTTAACCAGAGAAGACGGAAGACCAGCTAGTGTAGGCCCCAGAGCTCCCCTGGCTCGCTGTCCTTATAAGGGCCGACCAGGGCAAGCCGGTGGCGTGGCCCCGAGAGCCCAGACGAAGCTGGTCTGGTGACTCAGGGAGCCGGGATCCCAGTTTAACCAAGCTGGGACAGATAGCCTCCCCTAGTCCCGTAGTGGAGGAATTGGTATAGGTTAGAGGGGTTAGCTGTCGAGAATCCCTGTAGCCAAGTGACCTGTACAACTGTGTTGGTGTAATAAATAAGTGTGCCTCCGATCCTGTCGTCAAGCCTCCATATATACTTACTACACATGCACACAAACACATATGGACTCACACACACAGACATCGACTTTAGAGACACACAAGTAGTAACACACAAATCGACTGACACACACACATAGACTTACACACACATATCGACTCACAAATACATATATAGACTCAACAACAACAACCGCCATTCGACACTAAATGGCGTTGACATTACCACGATGCTTGTGGCAGGCTATGTGTACCTTGAGGACACGTGAAGTGTCGAACGCCCGCTGGCAGGATGTCAAGGGGCAGACCCAGGTGCCACGGGTCGACTGACTGAGATGAGTGGCTGATGCACCACCTGTGCCCTCTATCGTGCTAACGTGCTGTGCTTTAGCCACCCGGTGCTCCGCTCATTGTTCTGAGCGTCGCTCCTCCGCCCTCCGTTGTTGTTGGAGAACGACTGCCTCCAACTGGCCAGTAGCATCCTTCACGAGGCTCCTCCACAGAGGCCAATCTTGACACCACTGGTACCAGTCATAGACAAGTCCACTCAGCTCCACATCGTCCTGTACCACATCACTTCATCTCTTCTCTAGCTTTTGCCGCGCCCGTTTAGCCCCCGCGATCCGGCGGAACAAAAGCTGTTTAGGCATGCAGTAGCTGGGCATGCGGGCTACATGGTCCAGCCATTGCAGCCTTGCCTGCCGTAGGAGGTCACCAACGGGACTTTGTTCAAATCTTTATAGGATTTGTGAGCTCATCACACAATCCAGCCTGGTAAAACCCAGGGATGGATCGTAGGCAGGCCAGCCTAAATGTTTCTAACCGGCGAAGATGTTGCATTAGGGCGGTCCAAGTTTCGCAAGTGTACAGAAGGGAGGGGATGACCGTGGGCGAGAAGACCTGGAGCTTCGTGCAGAGCCAGAGACCAGGTAGCTTCCACACAGTGTTATGCAGCCGATGAAAAGATAATGCCGCTCGACTGATTCGGAGGTGTTAAACAGGAGCCGGTCATGAGCACACTGGCCAAATATGGGAAACTCTGCACTCTCTCCACAACTGCCCCATCACCAATTGTGAGTTTTGGGGGTGGATTGTCCGACGGTACAAAATACCCAGGCAGGTGCTTAGTTTTGGTGGGGCTAATGGTAAGGCCCCACCTCCTAGTGGCAAGCTCCAGGTTCAGCAGCAGCGCGTGCAACTCCTCTTTTGAGTGAGCATTAATTACCAGATCATCGGCATACATAACGTGGTTGACCAATAGGCAGGCATCCCTTGACCGCACCTGGGCATCGATCAGCTGAGAATTCTTCCGGTACAGGCATTGAAGGCTTAACGAACTACATGGTCCAAATATATGTAAAAGAATGTGGGAAGCAGATGACATCCCTGTCGCACCCCAAGGTGTAGAGGGAATGGCTTTGACTCACAGCCACGTAGTTTGACGTGGGGCCGCTCACTATCATGAAGGTCCTTAAAGATCGTGAGCAGAGGGTCAGGGACTCCGAAAGCACAAAGAGCAACCCAGAGGCCAGGCCTACTGATGGTATCATAGGCCTTGAGCAGGTCAATAAAGCACACACATGGACTAACACGCACACATGGACCTACAGGCACGCAAAGAAATGGACTTACATTGACTAACATGGAGCCACGTACACACAGCGACTAACACACACACACATGGACTGACACACACACATAGACTCACACACACATACATAGACTGACACACACATTGGCGTACACACACATAGACATATGGACTCTCACACACAGACATATACTTTATATACACACACATGGAGTTACACACACATATTAACTCACACACACACATTGACTTACACACACACATCGAGTGAGGCGCACACATGTATAGACTTACACACACATATGGACTGACACACACATACACATGGATGTACACACACACATTGACTGACAACACATAGACACACACACGCATATTGACTTACACATTGACATAGAGCCATGCACACACATCGACGAACACACACAAAGCGACTGATACGCACACATGGACTAATACGCACACTTGGTACGCCGACTCGATGACATAAGCATTGCTACAGTGGACATTAAAAGCTGGCAATACAGGCAGCAGCTGAAAAAGCAGGATACAGTCGACATGAAAGGCTGGCAGTACACTTAGTGAGGTAAAGAAGCAGGCAACAGATTATAGACTGGCATACACTCATAATGGGCAATTTTTTTTTTACAGTGTAGATAGAGTAGCAGTACACTGACGTTAATGAATCAGAAGGCAGCAGTCCACAGCACAGACTGGCAGTACACCGTCGCAGCGTCATAAAAACGCACCAAAAATAAAAATATTTAGCAACCTAATAATGAAAAGTTAGTTTTCTGCATACAATCATTATAATTGTAATATTAGCCAACTTATTAGGTTAATAATAGTAAACAATGAAGCAGAGTTGTTATCTGCATACAAACATAATGTTTGTAATATTTTAAAACTTATTTGTTTAATAATAGTAAATAAACGTGAGTTCTTAGCGAAAGATTCAATAAAATTGTACTTTAAATTGGCGTGGTGACTCCCAGTCCCGTGCAGAGCCCGCGGCCTCGCCTAGATTGGCGAGCCGGAGGAGGTGAGACGTTGCCAGGCTGCGGGCTGGGCCGCTACCCCCCCATCATCCCCCCGCCCGAGCGACAATAATCCGACAAGAAAAGTATCAAAGTGCTACAATACTAGTATGTACCGACCCTAGAGTAGTAAGTGCACTCATTGGGGTGAGGCGGGAGAGAAGAGGACATGACAATAGGATGAATTTACCTCAGCGGTGCGTGTAATTTTTGTGCATTTTGAACGTGAAGGAGAAATCCCCCCCACCCTCCACCGATGACGCGCGTGCGTTGCTCGGGGCAACCCCCCTGCAGCTTGGGCGGGGCGTGGAGATAAATAATTAATGCAAAATCGCCAAAAAACGCTAATTCAACTAATTAAAAGGCGACGGACGTGAAAAAGGAATAGCCTATTCCCACCACGGGGTTTAGGGCGTGCTGGCTGGCAATTTTTTTTCGACGTCAACCCCACCGTTCGAGAGCCAAATCTCCCACTAGCGCGCGGAGACTTTATTTTTAGGAAAGAAAGAAAAAATAAGATTGCTTTCCAGGGTGGCTTAAAAGTGAGGACACAAAGCGATATTGTAAGGGGTGGCGAAACATTCAAGACACTTAGGGGTATTAAATCGAGTGGCCTGAAATTCAGGACACATAGGGGTTTTGTTATACTGGGTGGCCCAAAATCCAGGATACATAGGGGATCGTACATGGTGGCCTAAAAGTCAGAACACATAGCAATATTGAACTGGGTGGTTCAAAAGTCAGGACACCCAGGCGTATGGCTATACGAGTGTCGGAATTGTCGGGACACATACGGGTGTAGTGGGTTACATTCAGGCGCACGCTGGAACTTTGGAGGCAACACTTTATTAGCTAAACACAACGGGTAATTCTTAACATTAACAGGATAACATAGGGTGGTAACCACCGTTCCTAACTTAGCTAACACATGGGGATACTACATTCCTGGACCGGAGACCGAGGATCGTAGATAGTGGCTTCATCCCAGACTTGATACAGCAGAACAGCCCGGCTCTCCGTCCACACCCCGCTTATAACCACTCCGGTGTGGCCGGCTCCGCCCCAGGCCCCGCCCCCCTTCCCGATCCTTCGAGAAAGCCCGAACCCCGAACCACGTGACCCCCCTGGGGTCCTTGGCCCCCCTTTATCCGGTCACGTGTCCTATTGGGTTCACACAGTGTCACGGCCTGACACGACCTCCGTGACACCCGCCTACAGCCCCCATACCGAGCCAACACAGCAGTGTCGTTCTACTACATTACACAGGTATTGAACTGGGTGGCCCAAAAGTAAGGACACATGGGGGTATTTTACTGGTTGGCCCAAAATTCTGGATACATAAGCTTATTGTACTGGGTGGCCCAAAAAGTTAGTACACAGGGTTATAGTTATACATACTCTTTGGTTCTTTCAATAAAGTCACATAGGTATAAAATAAAACAAATTACAATGTTTTGATCGCAACGGTCATCGGGTGTGTCGTGTGAAACAGGGGCCCCTGTCGGGGTCGCTGGCCCCCGAGATCCCTCCCTCTGTACCGCTAACGGTCGGGTTAACCTCATTATTAACCTCATTACTCGCCCCCTCGCTACTAGGCGAACCGCTGTTGGGTTCTTCACCCATGGTGTGAGAGCCGTCGCTCGAGGATTCCCCTCCCCCGCGGGTCCGCGTAATAGGCATGGTTAATTACGTACGCGCACACCCACACACAGCTCTGCGCGGCACTCACTCAATACCGACCACTCACGTTAGGAGCGCGCACCTGTATTATACACGTAGTGAACGTGCGCGCGCACACGCATACAGCTCCACACGCGATACCCACTCTTGCGCCGCTCTGCGCAGCGCTCGCCGCCTGCTGGCCGCTTACGTTATGATCGCGCACCTGGGGTACGCCGATTACGCACGCCGCGAGCTTACGCACACACAGTACCACACGCGTTCCCACACGCTCACACTGCACGACAAGATCACGCGAGACCACGCTTCGCTATTAATGATTTATTACCTGGTACTAATGTTGAATCAGTGAGTCGACGAGGCTGGCCTATTCCCCTAAACCGGCACCTATTCCCTATTTATCGGCTATTATCTTACTTCACCTCCCCACTCCCTGTTTGGCGTCCGCGGAGGTTCGCTGCTCCCTGCGCTAACAACGT